TGCTAGCACAAACTCAGTTTAGGTCACCAGCATAAGATAATAATGTTTAGTAAGAGAAAAGATATTATTTTCTGTCACTTAGATCTCCCGGGTGAAGAGGAAAGACCATAAATGAATGATGGGAGAAGAACTATGCTTTAAGTTTAAATGGTAAATTTTAAAGTTTTATGACTAAGAAATTTTTTTTCCTTTATCTTGGTTTTGTAAAACTTTCATCAGGAGATTAATTTAGGTAATGAACAAACTTGTTTAAAATATTGTCTTTATCTGACTAACCCTTCTCACTATGCTTAGTTTTCCAACCTTTCGAGGTTTGTTAGTTCAGATCTGGGCGAGACTGATGAATGTTTTTGGCGGTAAGTCCCTGCAGGACTGAGAAATTAATGGTTTTGAGTTTGGTCTTTTTTACTCACTGACCTAGGATTTTTCTCTAGTGAAATCTAGTAAGCTACATAGCTACTGGAGTTTTTCAGTGCCTTCACTCTAAACAGGCAGCCTCAGCAATGATAAACTCTGTCTCACATGAAGGGAAATTTTTCAATTTTGTATTTACTAGTCTCAAACCATTTCTATGTAATTAGGAAAACTATGGTAATATAATTATGGCATGATTGCAGTCAAATTTCATGTTGGAAGAGACAATTTCTTTACTAGACACAACACAAACAGATTTTAGGGTCAATTGTGGGATTTTTTGTTATACTGCTGGCCACAAAACTCTATAATTATTTTTTTTCCAGACACGTAACACTCCAGTGCATGACCTGAATCTCCTCATTTTCTTTTCCCATTCTGATCAATACTTTTATATTTGTTAGACAGGAAATGAATGAAGAACAAATATGAAGGAATTCTACAAGTCCACAAATACCGCAGAGAAAGTGAACCGGGAACAATCTTTCACTCTTCAGTATAAGACAAGCTACAGACCACTCAAGGGCAAACAAACAAATGGAAACATGTTTTTATGACCCAACACCCGCACTTCATAGTGAACCTCATTGCCATAGAACTTTGTGGAAGATGAATATTGACATTCATTCTAAAAAAAGGTAGGATAACTTAATAATATGTCTACTGGTGTCTATTCAAAAGAATGGTGTGACTGCCACCTCTCTCTGCTTGCCAGAAATAGTTAGGCCAGAGGAGGAGCCAAACCACACTTGTCTTGCTCCTCATATTTTTCCCCTGAGCACCCACTACTCACCACATCCAAGGACAAGATACCAGGCTTTTAGAGTTTTGAGAGGTGTGTGTGCACAAGTTGCTACTTTTCTTTTTATAAAATAGGCATTAAGGCAAATGTTAAAAATTGAAATGTCAGAATTGATTTTCATAGCTCAGAATAACTAGTTTGCAAGAATTGGAAACTAATTCAATAAAAATTTAGAAAACATTTTTGCTGGCAGGAAATCACCTGTCCAAGAACTATTTTAGGGAGACAATCCTCATGTCTAACAACTTTTATATTAAAAACAAATGTTCTGTGGTATTGAAAGCGTTTCATTACACAGCCTATACACTTTATCTAGAGCTAATTTCTAACAGATTCCCACTTGCTCTGAAACATAGGTTTCTAGGCACTCATTTGCTTAGCCCAAGAGGAATTTCGTAAGTGAATTAAAATCAGTTCAACTAGAATTCATTTTTCCATCACTTAACACCCCAGCAAACTGATACAGACAAACTGTGATGAAGTTTAATGCAGACTGTTTACAATGTGTTGCACCTCTTTCCACATGTATGTATAATGTATCAATATCTCTTTTTTTAAGGAAAAAAGCTGTAGTTTTAAGATCCAAAGTTTATAAACTATTTAATTCTTCAATAAGGTCCGCAACAAGAAAAAAATCTAAGGACTGGCATAATGTGGCATTCAGTACTCATCTCTGGTATTTCTAAAAACAAACAGGCTACTTCAGTAGCCAAGTGCATATTATTTCCAAAAATATGTACGCATAGTCTAGTATTAATAACTATAAAATGCTGAAAAACAAATTATGGCTGCCCTGCTGCAGTTTTGCTATGATTTGAAAGGCCAGTACAGAGCTCCAGAAGTTTCTTGTGAAATTGAATACCACAATATGCCTCCTGCATTTCTTCAGCACTGAGGGCTCTGGCCAGGCATACTGAAAGGAAAACAAACCTAGCCTAAGCTTGCTTCACACAAAAGTAGTAGTTGACAGACAGAGCTGCACAAGCACAAAATACAGATTTTCAGAAGTTATTTTAACACCTTGAAATGCATCCCTCACAGGATCCAGTATATTTTTTTTACACAAGGAAATAACTTACTATCTATTGCTACCTCAAAAATGAGAGCCACCGGGCTTAAACAGCTCCTGAGGTCAAAACAAATTGTTTCTAGAATAACCTCAGAAACTATGATTTACTCCCATGTAGAAAGCATTTTGTGTTACTGCCCCAATTATTAACAGAAATGTTTCTATCAATAATCATCTGGTAATATTTTATGCCTGCACTTCTGTTGTTCAAATAGTACATGTGCTTTGCAATTTCACAAACAAAAAATTAAAATATGTAGGCCCTTTTTTCTTAAAGGATGTCTGACCTATCATGAGAAATCTGTATTGCAGAGTGTATCTGGAAATGCTCAGTACCCAGCCATTCCCATTAAAGCTGATGTTTTCAGAAGATATTTGAAAATCAAGGCAGATGAGTCAAGTACATTAACACAGATCAAGGAGCATGGCTTCAACCCCTAGTGGGAGGTTATCTCTGCAGTCAAAAAAATGAAAACAATTTTTAATTTGTTTATTTTTTTTTCCACAGCTAAACTTAGATTCTGTCTGAAACTTGCAGCAAATTACTTCACGGTTTGTCTTGTAGTCCATACATACACAGCTGGAAGTCATTCATTCAGACTATAGTTAACATTCAATTGATGCTAAAAGGGGTCTAAAACAAAAAGTTTGGCTCTAGATGTGGATTCAATATTTTAAAGAGACACCTTGGACTGGATTTATGCAGACGCGCAATCCTGGTAGCACATCTACATCATGAAATGGGGTGTAGCACAGCAACCCCTAAACTAGCAGAGATCCAAGACATAAGTTCATGAAGAAGGGGAGAGCACAGGAGGTAGAGCAAAGAAGAACAGAGGAATGTCTTGAGCAGGCTTTGTTATTAAAGGGAATAGATATTTTAGAGACATTATAAGATCAGTAGAAGATTTTGCATTGGCCACAGAGGACCTTCAAAGTGAGTGTGTCTGGACAGCCTTGAAGTCAAGCCCTCAGCACTTCTCAACATTCAAGTCTGCAGTTAATTTCTGTATCAATGTATCTAAAAAATAAAAATGATATGGCAAAGACTCCACCATCTCCATGTCAATTTTAATGAAATGAAGATTGGCACAATTATCACATAAAACCATAAACAGAGAGAAATTATGTATAAACAGGACAACTAAAGGTTGATTGAAAATGTTAAAGATCAGGAGTGGTAATATGTAATTAGTCATGATTGAATCACTTAAGACTAATTGTTGGTGCACAGAATCACAGAGGAATGGGCTGTACTTTTGTAGTTTGTTTGTATTTATCTCACTAAATAGTTCCCTGAATTTCAGTTTTGACTCAGAGGTTTTACCATAAGTTACTGTTTCTGCATAACACAGTTCGTTTCAAGCACAGTGTTTGGTCCAAAACCTCAAAATAACTTCTACCCTTTCAGGTATATGAAACTGAGAGTTCAGATTAAAATGTACCTTCTGGAATCTTTGAAATTTATCTGGTATCTAATTATATATAAATGACCGTTAATTAGCAAAAAAAAAAAAAAAACAAAACCCAACAGTTATAGATAAGCTTTTAGCATCTGCAATGTTACGGAACTTCTCTTAGTAAAACTTCAATATGTGGTGGTTTTCTTTAGTTAAAGATGCTTCATTTTCTAATCTTCATGTGTTACTACATTAGCTGAGCAAATTGGGAAAAAAAAAAAAAAGTAAAATGGTGGAGCTCTCTAGGATTTTTTTTGTTTGTTTTCATAAATATAGCTTTAATATTCGTTATATCTCTATTTCCTAAGCACAATTTCAGTTTCTGACAAAATTTGGGAAACATTTGAAGTCAATGAAAAAGAAGAGCAACATTTGAAAGAGAGAAGAGAAATGGGAATTAAGGCAATGATTTTACATATCAAGTCATTACCTGGAGTATTGCAATTTTTGTAATTTCCAGTGTAAAACTTTCTGTCTGTAAAAACCAGGTTGCTTAGGTATCACAACTGATAATTCCAATAACTACAGCAAAAAAATTACTTTGTATTTTTAGTCCCAAGTGATATAAATAATAAAAAAAAATAATATAAAGAAAGAATGAAAGCTTTAATGGGGGGTCGGGGGGGAGGGAGGGCGTGTGGGAAGAAATGTACACATGCAGTAGAAATCAATAGAGCATTACAGGATTTTGGACAATCAGGTAATATTTTCTTATGAGCATAAAAGATATTTTCCTGAACAAATGGTTCTTCTATCTAAAATTTTGCATAATATTTTATTTTAAAGCTTTCAGTATAAGTTGATTAAGGGATATTTATCTTACAATATTATTGTATGTGCTCTCCTTTTTAAATTTTACAAAAACGATCCAAAACAAAAAAAAGTTACACAACATACCTCCAACATACATTAATCATCATTAGCATACATACCATATACAGAGGAATAGCTACATTCTCTGTCTGAATTGCTGAGAGAATATGGAACCATTTACACATCTGTAAAGTCACAAGTTATTCCCTCTGTAGATCATGGAAGGAAGTGGCCAATTCATCTAACCAGACTGGATAAACATATTAATTGATTTTTTCTGGTACTCCTATAAACACTGAAATACTATTTCAGCAACCATTAAGACAGAAAAGGGAAATTCCTGCTTTTTAATTGCATTCATAGTAAGATAATTGCCGAATTTTGTTTATATTCTAAAAACAGTCTTAGAAACCCAAAGGAATAAATTATACGTTCCTCAAAAAAACATTACCTTAGATTCTGCAGAACAGTCATTGTCTATGGGAGAAATCCACATCGCCCTCAGCAAGGAGGATTGGTTTCCACCACTGGTCTCATGAAGCTCCAGTTGGACCCACTGAACTTCCTCACCTGAAGAAGGGACTTCCAGCTCTGAAGTTTAATACAGGATATTTAACAGCTGAAGAGTTTCTAGCATTTCATCTCAAATATTACCTTACAGAACTTCCTTTTTATGAAATTGTCTGTTGACGCCTTTTCTTTTCAGGGCATGTTCTTTCCTCTCCTCTTTTTTTTTATTCAGAGCAACTGTGAGGAAGAAATGTTTAAAATCAACTAAGAACAGCACCACAAATGCCTGTTTTCCTTTCAGATAGAAGGAATGTAACAATTTTAGTTGTGTTTTTCTGCTTAAACTACATATATGGTTCAAATTCAAAGTGTGGATCTATGCTATATTCAAAGGAATGCAGGAGTAGCCAGTTTCATGATGTGCTTCCTCGCACACCCACCCTCCAGCTTGTACAGATGCTTTTTCACAGCTGACAAGCAGTCTGCATGTGGGGGCTCCTCATGATCTGGGTGGACTTTCAGGAGCAGACCTGAGGCTTCACTAACTGCAATAAAAACAAATCTGGTCCCAAGAAGTGCCTCTGAAAGGTCAGGTAGGTCTTGTGTACTGGTGCCTTGAAGAAAAGTGGTTTGAAGAATTGTGCCAAACAGAGAGAGGGACTCTTTAATGACAAGATTAGTTCTTCTAGCTACTCTCAGAAAACATCTCCTCAAGGAGTTTTTGTCCTCTTCATTTTTATCCTCTTCACACACCCTCTTCCAGCATACTGTTCAACCTGGTATCTTCCTCTTTATCAAAAGCTCCTTTTTTCAACTACACAAATTTGAGCAGTTCTCAGTGCTGGTCTACACCCATAGCTACTTCTTCTAAATGATTCTGTCTATAGTTACATCCATAATTTAGTAAGAAAGCTAACCACATTTCATAGTAAAGTTGCATGTTTAAGAGACTGTATGATGTTAGCCCAGAGGCCTACAGTAAAAAATAATGCTGTCTACTCATGTCCCCATTTTCTGTCATTTTTGTTAATGCTATTTTAAAAGCATATACATAAGCACACTTACAGATCCATATTCCAGGTTGCTGGATGGTGACAAGAATGTACTTTTTTTGTCGCCTGACTTCCCCAGAGTCTTTGAAACAGGCAGCTGTTCAGTGGATCTTGGGACTGGAGTTTGTTGTTCACTGCTGTTCACTGTTTATACAAATGTCTTTCCAACATATTGTCCACCCTTGCTTTTTATCTGCTTCAGACTGCAAGGATTCTGCTATGACTATAAAAAACAAAAAGAGAGATAAGGTCAGTGTTTTTCTTCAGTACGCATGGCATCTGAGAAAATGAATTGAAGCACTGCACATTATTAGATGTGCAGGTAATGATGTATTCCCCCTGCCAAACTCTTCACAGATAATAAAAATTACATGCTTGTTGCAGACACACTAATTATGTGCAGTTATGGACAAAAAAAATTGAATCCCTTCCTGAGGTGTAGATTAGTTTGTACTGAATGCTGCCTTTGGCAAGGTGCCTGTGAATTTTATTTTAATTTTCTTAGCAGAAAATTAGAAATATATTTGAAAACTATTAAATTTGAAATACAGCCAGTGAAGCTGATGAATTAAATTGATAGTGGAGTTTCTCCATCATCTATTCCTGACTGAAAGGAAGGAAATTATTTCTTTGGCTCGCATAACATGAGTTCAGTGTTTCATATAACAAGAGTATCTAGAGATGACAGACAAGACCAGGACTGTGCCAGCTGCTGTAGAAACATATGTAACTACAGTTTCTTTTCAATAGCTCAATAAAAGCAACTTTGCATATACTGTTTCCTTTACTATTAATAGAAAAGGAACATCGGGGGCTGAGGGGGGAGGAGGAGCGGGTGCGGGGAAGCCATGGCTAGAATAGGATAAGCCTCTGTCAAGCTGAAATTTCTAAATAAACCCTAAGAAATGTAGGCACATGGTCACAGGCTGTGTGAGCCAACTCCTGCCTGCCCTCAGCATTGCAGAGGATGTTATATCACCGATTCCTCTAGGCAGCCTGCTGCCTGCAAAAGTCCGAGCTCCCAGGCTTCCACTCCGTTGCCACAGATTTATTCAGCTGACAAAAGATATGTGTTTCTAATTAGTTTGGCCTAGATTTGGGATGTGGCATGGCACTGACAAAAAATCAGTTATAATCTTCAGAAGAATTTTTTTCAAGCTGTAAAAAAGTTCAGAAAATGGATCAAACCACTAGGAACTCCCCTACTTTTTAAAAAGAGCTCTGCTGTACATCTCAAAACCGCACAGCTTAATTAGAAGAAAAAATGCCATGGACCTTTAGTTCAAGGGAATGTCCTCTGTGAGTATAACTATTAGTAGCTATAGCTACAACAACCTGAAAACAAAAGCAGAAGCACCATTAGAGATGAAAAAATAACCTTAATTATCATCTATCCTGTGCTGGAAAATTTGTACTTCACATGAAAAAGGGGAAAAACTCTCAGCCACACAAATTCATCAGGGAATGTTTCCAGCCTTTTCTTTGTGTCAATGCAGTAGTTTGGAGCCCTGGTCCATGACCAGGGCTTGTGTCCTCAGCCCTGCACAGCAGGCAAACATGAAGTCAGCCCCTGCCTGGGTAGTCTGCATCATTCCCAAACTTTGTCACTTCTGTACAACAACTCCTTCTCCATGACAGAGCACCGATCACTACCTCTCTTCTGTCAAAAGATGATTCAAGACCCAGCACATGAAATCCACACAAAGGGCACTAGACGTCCATCTAGGTAAGGAGGGGCAGCGGATGGAGCAGGACAGAAGAGGTGACAACACCAAAGTCTCAGCTTCATCTGGAGATGTATAAGTTACTGAAGACCTAACAGGTAACTCTGAGGCCCAGTGGGACACCATGCAGCCTTAGCAGCTTGTGTTCAGAAGCAAAATAGACACTGAGCTAAGACACCTTCTCCATCTACATCCAGCTAGTAGCCAGCCGAGACTACCTAAGCTGCACTAGGCTTGAGTCATGGGGATTTTTGTCTCTGAATTTGAGTCCCCCACAACTTCCCATTCTGCAGTGAGAGGTGCAGAGAAAGCTCAGAACCATCTGCACTGCCAACGTCAGCTCATCCTCAGTTTAATGAACTCCCCTCTAAAAAGTAAAGATCAACTGTAGGAAACCAGGTCTAGCTACAGCAATATGAAGCAAGATTTTTTCATTCCTTCTGTTTTCAGTAGAGCTACTACCAGCACCAACGCTCTGCTGGAGCAGTCAGCAGAGAGAACAACATTCGTTCTTGTGTTCACCCACTCAGTTTAAAGAAAAAGTAACATCTGTTGCTCCTTTCTCTGTCTTGTGCATTTATGCAGGTTCATTATTTTATTCTTGCAGTAACTGCAACTTCCTTCCCTCCATAAAAAACATTGCTGGTCACGCCTGTAAGGCAGAGCAGTCATTCTGGGCAGAAAGATTTCATCTGCAACTCCCATTATCATACTCAGACAAAACAACAACAAAACTCTTAAAGATGTATTAATTTTTGATTGTACTTATTCTATAAACTGTTCATCATTTAGCACATGTCATTTAGATTACAAGAAAAAATAATGAGAAAGCATTACATAGCCAATAAAGAAAAATATACTTTAAGCTGCATTACTGTAAACCACTTTCATCTACTGGAACAAAGTTAAAGGAACCATCAGTCCACAACCCAATCAACTTCCAAACACAAATTAAACTTAGATACAACAAAGTTTTCCTGGAGGAGAGCACAATCACCATTTTCTAAGATGCTTTTCCTCCCTCCTTTTTTTCTTTACAGGAGTCAAGTATAAGGGGAAGGTTCCATTACATGGAAGGAACAATGGCATGATTATAGTGAAAGCACTTTCAAAATACACAAGGGAAAACATGTTAAAAAATAAAAACAAAGACCAACTTCATCTTTATTCCTTACCTCAGCTGGCTTGACACTATGTTCAAAATCTATAGCCAGAACCCTTTTTGTTAATTGACTACCTCTGCAAACCTCCCCTGAGCCAAATACAAGTACTACAAAAGTATTAATATAGCCAACACAATAAAAGTCAATATTCAAATATATTTTAAGAAGGCTGGTTTGGATAAACATTTTTCATGTCTGTCTGTTGGTACAAAAGAGAAAATTGTCCAAGACTATCCAGGCAGAGAAATTTTATACAGTAGAGATTTATAAGTAGTTATATTGAGCAGTATTTTTTTCTATCTAATCATTCGGTCCAGTTTTTCTTTTTAGGCATCTCAGTTGCCCAGCTTCACCTTCAATTTAATAACCTATCTATATAGCACTTTTTTTTTGTCAGATATCCTTCCCTCCCAGCCTTCTCTGTTTACTTATAACACAAGATAACCACCCTTATCAGAAAGGTACTAATGAGAACAAATATTAACTTAAATCTCTTTAAAACTGGAAGAGAATAAATCAAAAGAGATTTGCAGTATGACCCTGCAAACTAAGGTTTCAGAGATGAATGGGGAGCAAAAAACTGATAATAAATGAGATGCATTTAAAAACCTCTTAAGAGACCGTTAGAGCTAAGTAAGCCAGGGGATACAGTTTTGTTTCCACACAATTCTGAGGCAAGAGGAGAAAGTGCACACAAAAGAGCTGTAGCAAGTTCCCATGATTTGCCATGTATTTATGGACTACTAAGAAAGTAGATGATAAAAGGGATTCATTCCTGATTTACATATTCTACTAATAAAGTGGCAAGGTCTTATGGAACAAACACAACAGCTGCAAATTATGTAATTACGTATCTGTATGCAAATTTGCAGACATCTCATAAATGTTGGAATACTATTTGCAATGCTAATTAAGTGCCTTTTATTGCCTCTGCATAATTCCTACATGCAATCCTGTGCCAGATGTCATTGTAGCTTGCAAAACCTTTATTGTCAGGTTAGCTGAGGTAGCACACATTAACACTGCTCATAAAAATCCTATTTTTAATTAAATTACCTGCAGTGTCTCAATAATTTCTCGTTGTCTTCCTGTCCAAATCAGTTGGCTGATTCCTTTCTTCAAATTGCACAACTGAATCACAACACCAAAAGCGTGGAATTCCTTCTGCCCCACCTGAGCAATATTAAATATATTAAAAAGAAAAAAAAAGGAAAGGAAGACAAAAAAAAGTAAAATCTCCAGAAGCCACTACCAGTTCTTCAAAGAAGTTTAACAGGGAGCAGTACAGTGTGAAGAGAAAGACAAACAAGGGATATTGATTTTGACAAATTTAGAATTGTCTCAAAGCAGAAAGAAGATATATGGAGATTGCAATCAACTAGTGGTATCAGTGAATCTCTCCTTTAGATTTTAACTATTATATTTAGTGTCTAAGTTATAAACCAGGACCTTATTTCCTCCTTAAGCCATTCTCATGAAAGGCCCAGTTTGAACAATGCCTTCTACATACATTTCTTGATCTTAGGCCAAATGACTGAGCAGGGAGGCCAAAGGAAAACCAATGGTGAGAAGGAACAAACAAGAAAATTAACTCTTTCTTCATCTGAAAAAGCAACTGTTAATTTGTTATTTATAGTAGGACAGGATCCAATGAAGTATAAATAGAGCAACAAAACAAGTACTTCACTTCTAACAATGTCTCATCAAAACAAGCTTAGGAAAATTTTTATGATGCCCTTGATTTAGACCACTGTCCTACAACCCTTAAAGCCAGGAAGCAACAGCAGACCCTTCCCAGGCAGTTATGGGAGTGCAATCATTTTAATGTCTCAGCTGGTCAGTCTTTTCTGAGTGAACAAATTTGTCTTCTGCAGCAGCAGGATAGTCTGTCACGTCTTTTCCCACACTAAGTTTTTCAAGACACTCATCAAAGACTTCAGCACTGAGTGAGTAATAATGTACTTTACAGAAATAATTTTACCCACAGTTCAGTGAGGACCATGAAATCAGACTTTTCCACAAAATAAATAAATATTATTATTGGCTTGTCACAAAACTGAATCTTAAAAAATACCTAGCTATAAGAAGTTTACTCCACCATTTGCTTATGGAAGCAGTTTTTACAAAGTATATGAAATTATACTTGGCACAAACTATTCATAATAACCTATCTGGCTCACCTCAGAATAAATCTGTGACTGTGGCTCAAGCTCTAGCCTTTTTTTCCATCTTCCACTTCACTGTATTTTCCATCAAAATGATCACTTCTGAGATTTAAGACTATCAGTGTCAAATCAGAAAGGCTGCTGGAGTCAAATTGAACTGTAAATTATAACATCATCCAATTGTACTTCACTTGGAGGGTGGCTGGAGGCCTGTTCAATCCAAGTTAGAAAAGTGCAGTCAATAGAAACACTTTTTTGAATGAGCTGGTAGAGAAAAGAATCTGCAATAAACTGCCAGATAAAAAGTTGCAATAAATTAGGGCTGGCCAAAATAATCTAGCAAGTTATCCATTCAGAACGTTAAAGAAATCTGCCTTGCTTTCATCTGACTGAGCACTGATTTCACAGACAAGCCTTATCTGACAATTCTTCTTCATTGCCAGCTGGTCTTGGTATCCAAACTTGAAAACAGAAGGAGCGCTCTAGAATTTATACCATATGTGTGTCAGTTGTCCACAGGATTGGTCCTTTAGTAGAACTGAAGTCTATCCATGTGTTCATTAACTAAGGAAAGGCTTCCTTCCAGTCATCTATCTTTTGGTCTTGCCAGCAACGTCACAGAGATTTTTGTATATGCACTGATTCAAGTGAGGCCACAAACCAAATTAAGGTAAATCAACAATAATCCTTACACAGTAACTTTGTTTCCAATAAAAGCAGCTACTGCTGGCCAGGAACTTTTGCAGTGAGTCTAAATGACTTGGGCACACATTCCTGTGCGAATAACTGTATTGGGGAGGTTTCTTGTTGATCCCATAAAATAAAACAAAACAAAACACTTCGAAACATTTGTTAAAATTAAAAAGGAGATATTGGGTTATATTACCCATTCTGCTTTTTTAAATTTTTTTTTAATTTTTTAAAATAAATTTAGATTACTTCAAAAGAAGCTGAATTCTGAAACCAAATTAGATATGACTCATTTTGACAAAATTGAGCTGAAATACATAGGTTTTCCCTATTCTTTTATTGGCCAAAAAATTAACTGTTCAAGAGGTTGAAGTCAATCCAGGTAGTTTTCACAAAGAAAAGCTTGTTTCCTGAAAAAAAAACACTTCGATTCCCATAATTCCTATTACAAGTTAGTGGGGTTTGAGAAGTTCATTTCTTTTATCACCTCTGAAAATGTCATCTGAAGTTGTCATAAGTGTGTTAAAGGATAACAAATATCACCAAAGGAATTCTGAGTAGTAGGGAATTTCAGAGTAGTAAGAACTAAAGAACAAATTAATTTTGGCTACTGTTCAGCTGCTTCCCAGCAAGCTGGCTCCAGGAGCTCTTCTCTCCTTTGAGATCATGGTGTTCTATTTATTTCTTTTTAGCAAGAAAAATTCCCATTCAGTGGTGTTGCGAAAAGTATATCCAAGAAAATTTATGAATTATTAATAGGTAAGCTTCACACAATCAGATGACAAATCTAAGGGTTATTCGAATTGTTAGGATTAGCACAAGAAAGATGATAATACTTTGAGACTAGTCTTTCCTGCAGCAAGATTTTGCACTTTTACTAAAAAGAGAAAAATGCATTTTTTTAATACTTCAAGAAAGACTTGTATGTGCACTAGTATGGCCATGCATAACAGTTTAGAAGCATCACTCCAGAAAGTAGGGAACTAGAATGGGAACTGAGGAGATACGGAAACCTGATATCCATGTCTACCATAAGACATGAACTGATCTAACTTTTGGGTTTTTTCTATAAATGTAAAAAATAAAAATAAAATACAGGAATAAAGGAAACACAAGTATGGATGAGGTTTGAGAGCAGCTGAGAGGGTGATTTCTGAGTATAAGACTCCAGGAAGAAAGGTCCTGTTGTAACATGGTGATTTATTTATTTCCTGGAGGAAATTCTAAGGGGAAGCAGCAAAGATCTGCTGGATTAGCACAGAATATCTTCATTTTAATGTGGATTTCTGTAGTACAATACTCAGAAATTCAGATAGCCTTGCCCCAAAGCCTTACACAATAAAAACACCTGAACACTCAGCAATAAGCTAGACATGGTGTCATTATTTGTGATTAAATACTGCACACAGTATGGAGGCTGAGGATACATTTTTAATTTTCTAGCGAAGCCCACAAAATTGTGAATTGAAAAAGGTAAGTTGAAGAGGAATTGGGATGTGAACCAAGCTTTTTGAAATGTATCAAATAGAGGTACCACTTGGCCATTTTTATCTCCTGCAAAAAGTAGATAAGATTAGGAACACAGATGTCTTAATATGGAAGTCACATAAGGCCAATGAGAGCCCTGGGACTTTTTTAACTTTTAAGACATGAAAAAGAAGCCACAGTATATGACTAAAAGTGAAAGATACTCCCCAGCTGTTTTTTAAAAGCTTCCAAAAATAAACCTCAGACTCAGGCAGTGTTAATAGGGTCAGAATTTCCATGCCAAGCAGTGATACCAAGGGCACTGAAGAACAGAGATGTAGTTCTAATGTACTAATAATGACTTGTCCTCTTAGATTTTTATAAAACGTCAGGCATCCAGTTCCTCTGCCTTTGTGCCCACATACTCACAGGAGTCCTCTGCTGCAAGCAGGACAACCAGCATAGCAGAACCATGAGTAACAGTAGCACAAATGGACAATATGAGAATATATTATTTGCCAGACATCTAGCTTCTCCTCATACATATTTTCAATTGCACAGGACTTGAAGCTGTGGAACTGACAGCCTTGTGCTGCAAGGCCTTGGGAAAGAGCATGCTTACAAAGTTTAGGAAAAATCTGATATATCCTTCCAATTTTATTGTAAGGAAGTTATTTGCACTGTTTCATAAATTTGGTACACGGCTCGGTCTTTCTGTAAGTCTGACAGGCATCATGGCTTCATACTTCATGTCTCCTTTTTTTATTCCGTATTCTGGTATAGCAAGTCTTAAAGTCTGTCAGTAGTTTCCTGAATATCTCATGGTAATTTTAAGCTGCTTTTGTTCAAATAAAAGAACTAAGATGAAAGACATATACAAAAATCATTTATCTTCAAGCTGAAAATACTATTCAAATAATTCCTTAACTATTCTTTCATTTCATTCGTTCTGTAAAGTAATTTTCTTCCATTTGTTTCTTAAGTGTGCAATATGGGAATAGGCTTTCCATCTATGCTTCTAATGGTTTCCAAGGAGATTTGACCTGTCATTATTACAGCTGAAGGTCAGATAGATTTGGTCTCAAAGCCTTTTGGCTCATTAACTTGTTATTATGTTGAAGTCAAATCCATTATGGGATACAGGTAGAGACGCTTCTTCTGTTGTGCCTTTCAGCCTTCTCTTTGCCTGTTTCACTCTTGAGAGGAGAAGTCACTTTTGAACCATCTCTCTGCGTCAATAAGAATCTCAGTTAGTCAAAATAAGATTTGGGCTTTTTCAAATGTAGTTACCCCCATGTTTATTGAGTGCATTAACATTGACATATCTTTACAATAATTATAAGATAAAAAGTGCCTCAGAATACAAACAGGTTGATTATGTCCCTCTCTGCAATAGAGGTGACCTTAATTTTATTACATGTGTGTCCTGAAGGGAGTGAGAGATAACTTGCTGGTAAATCTGAGCCTCTTCATACACACATGTGACATGGCACACCCACCTGCAAACAATCAACATCACTTCGTTCATGTACTAAAAATCACCCTCTGCTTCCCTTTCTGAAACATAATAGCATACCACTAATGACAGTCAAAGTCAGTAGATCCCCAAAGGTTATGATGGCAAAGCAACATTCTTCCTGACACCAAATGTTACCTTAATAAGATTAACACTGTCTCTTGCTTCAGCTGTACTGGTCCCATCCCTGCACACAGATTCTGATGCAGAGGACAATTAAGCAAGGGAAGGTCACTCTGCTAATTTCCATCCCCTTTGAATGAACCCTCTGAGGTTCAGACACGGCAGAAAATGTGTGCATTCTTGAGAATCCTGAGAACGTTATATCCCTCCCCAGACACTGTAACTGAACTCTTGCAAATTTCCAAAAGCTGCTCTGTGTCTCAATATAATTAGAGCAATCTTGGTATCCTGGCTTCCTACAGCTGTTCCTTACCATTGCAAGTAACCTGTCTGAAAATTCAGCAACTTGGTAGGAAGAGAAGACTGACAGATGGTGAATAAATTCAAGTCCAGTTTATTTTTATAACTGGAAAATAACTTTCAGACATCCTGGTGGTCTACAGATTGTTTCCAGGTCTTTTCTATTTTAATGAAAGATAAAATATGACTTGGATTCATGATCGGACAATTTAATTTTAGCCAAATTGCAGAGAAAAGTAAATGCCAGCTCTTATTCTAAACTTTAACCTTCTGAGCCACTGAGACATTTATCTTATGCAAAAATTACTGCAATAATAATATACTTTCTGGTTTACAACTGATTTACCAGGAAATTAATATTTGGTTTTATGAACACATTAAGCAGATGGTACCTATTGTTGAAGTTATCCCATAAAAGTACATACATGTATTTGGACTTGGTTACAGTGCAATGCATTAGACTCTTTTAAGAGATTGGTGCGGTTGTTTTTTCTAACAAGCCATTTTAAGTCTATAGCATGCAACCTTGGAGAGGTAACTCCATAGCTACAGAAATTTAATCATTTGGCAGCAGAGGAAAGAAGAAGAAAATAACAATATTAGTGTATTGTAAATAGCTTACACAGTTGTTAGAATTCCGGCCTGTCATTAGTTTCATCAAAATCACTGATAAACTGAATAGATGTTATAAAAGTTACAAGAATGGAGTAGAAACTTGTGACCCCACTGAAATTAAAACTAAACTTCTCTGTAATTTCAGCAAAGCTTCAGTCTCCTTCAAAGAGCGATCTTGAAACTATGCAACCATGTTATCTGGTAGCAACTTTCAGAGCACTGCTGCCGTTCTACAATTTAAACATGCCATTTCACAAGAAGTCTCACTGACACACAAAAAAAAGTCACTTACTGCAAACTGCCTATGATGAATGGGAGTGGAATAATAACTGCACGTGTACTTCAGACTGTTTTTAAAACAGACTTGTTCATACCCTTTCATTACTTCAGACTCACTATCATTCAGTCACCAAAATTGTTTGCAGTTAACTCAGTAGAAAAACTCCCATCGACTTTAGGAGTTTCAAATCAATCCTATATTCCCTAAAATTTTATCTATTATTTAAGAATATTGCAGGAGCATATACAGCATTAAGTAGTATCTTTGCCTGCAGTCCCAACAAGAGTCCTGTTGTTGACTGTTCCATTTCCAAATTAACAGATACAGAAACTGGACCAGGTACTTGTAAGGTAACTGGCAATCCTGTCACCTTCGCAGGTGAACGAAGACTAGAGAAAAAAACTTATGTGTTAGAAATGTCTACAAGCCATCTTTTTATTTCCATCCCGTAAAGTCAAGCAAAAGGTGGAGATAATTTCTAAGAACAACTTTACACTTCATTTAACGAAATCCTACCCCTGAAATAAATGGTTAAAGAAACTATTGGTCAACTCAATGTGATTGTATACACACCTATATGTAATCTGATGATCTTTACACATGCTAACTGCAACTTTATCAGAGATTTTCCAAGCTACATCACTAAAGCTAAGGTTCTAAAACTGTTTAAAAAGAGGTCAGTGGTCTGATTTTCAAAAGTGGTGATTCTGCCATCCATTCTTCACATCTTTGCTGCAGACTTATCGAAGCAACTAGATGAAAATCGCCGATTTAGTCAGAACATAAAAATAAGACCCCTACAAACCACCGAGTGCTCAGCAGAGTGGAAAATCAAGCTAACAAATCAGGTATCTAAATCTAAACACAAACATTTGAGTTTAGGCATAGACCTATGCCTCCTAACTTCTGTCACTTAATCTCATTCCAGGCTTCTCTTCTGCTATAAGGAAAGGGATCCAGATACAGAAAGCAATTCAGATGTTATTTGGACTCTGTCTATACTAACCAGAAAGGGAACTTTATGAGATAGGTAGATAATGCTCCTAAATTAGGTGTTTCAACTACCTATAGTTAAATTGAATAAATTCAAACTAAGTTTGGAAAGTCTTGGACACACTCTCTAAATAAGAAAAATAAATTCACTTCAAGGTGTTGCACTTACGCAAATGTAGAACGATTCCTAGCAGACTTCTAAAAGCCAATCTTAATTATAATTGGATGCAACAAAAAATGTAACATTCGTTATGTTTCAAAAAAATACATATAAAGCAGAAAATCCCAATTCAATCAGTCTATACATTTGTGGCAAATTATTACAACCTCTCAGTATAAAAGTGATGGGTAAACCACTGAGAACCATTGACCTGGAAACCTGGAATCCTCCACTCCAAAGTGGTGACAGGGAGCCTGCTGAGGAGGTCAGGCAGGAGAACTGGCAGGAGCCCTAACAGGTTTCTGATTAAAAAATTCAGCTGCAATGGCATCAAAAGCTGAGCCACCAACACACATATGATTGCTGATAAGATCTTTGGTATGCTCTTATTTTTATATTTACAGGACCCAATATTGCTTCTGGCTTACTGAAAATGGCAAGCTACTTCAGTTAGACAGGATGCATCACAAACCACAAGAAGTAATCCATCAGAGTTTTTAAATCAACCTGGCCTCTCCTCAGGATAATTATTTGCAGACACTCAGCTGCAAACAGTATTTTAGCTGGGTGCATATAGTCTGACTTCACTGAATGCAGCCGTATCTCCAAATTTCTTGACAGTTTTTGACATTTTCTTACCAGTTACTGACAAAGAAGCTTGACGGGTGGGCGCCTAAGTGAAAACATCTTGTGACGAGGTGCCCACCTGACTCTGAACTGATTCTTCTGTAGCACACAGTGGTCACTTGTCTGAGCACAAATCTAACAAACTGCATGTTTAGTTTCTGGTTTATGGTCTTTGCCTGCATGTCCTCTGCAGCAGTTGAGAACTAGCAATATGTTGGACCTCTCCTTAAAAATCGACTCTTTTTCCCAGGACAAGAATGGTTTTCTGTGAGGCTCTAGAACATGCTTCTACTACCAACCACTGCACAGTTTGGAATTCTCACTTTCCCAGGATGTTTATGTCTAAGCACTTATCCTTTTTTTTAACTTTTAAAGGTGACTTGGGCAACAAAGGAACAAGGGAACCTGCCTATAACCAGATTGCATTAGAGGGTATAGTTCCTAGCAGTTAAAAAAATACATGCTTAAATACAAACTCCGTTTACCCTGAGACCAGGATTCTAGGCACTTCACAGCATGAAAAACTTATATTTTGTTGTCCTTAAAGCTTGGCTGTACACAGTCTGCTTTCCTGTTTGTCCCCAAGGAAAATAAGCTATTGTTTATCACCTCCTAAAATGAGAAATACCTTTGAAGACCCAGAATGATTGTCACACTACAGCTCAGAAGAAGGCTGAACTATCCTTGGTGTATCAGGGAAAGCTTTGCCACTGGCTTCAATAGCTCAGGAATTCTCCATCTGATCACTTTATTTCTTCACTTACTTTATACACAGTAATAAATTGCACAAACCACTGAGTGATTGAAAGCCCACTAAAATCAGCTGTGAAGCTCGCAATGATTACACTGTGGCCTGATTTTGACACTTTAAACAACAATATGAAGCAAAGATTCAATTTTTCCGAGCCTCTCGTGAGCTAAGCCTAGAGTTGAACAAGAAATATACCATAAAGTTGTATCCCCTATTAACTCCTAGAGGTAAGGCTCTGCAGCAAGGGTAATTTAGCACTTAAATTACACTGTCTTTTCTTGGAAATCTCTGTGATCTTCACCATCTGTTTCATGCGATAAAATAAAGTTGTTGGTTTGATGCTGTATTTTCTATGTCAGAATAAAGGCCAGTTCTAATTTTCATCAAGCAGAAAAAAAAAAAAAAAAAAAAAAAAAGAAGTAATTATAAATTACAATGAAAACAAACACATGCTTTTCCACATCTTAATGAAGCAAAGGTAGATGCACTGGTTTACAGCTCCAATCAAATTCAGATCACGTTAGTTGGATTTTTCAGTTTCAGACGAGCAAGACTGTAGCAAGCAGGTATAGTAAAAACTCTAATGAGTTTCCTCACCACATAAAAATTATCTGGCAAGCAGTGCAAAGATCACTCAAATGAAAACAAATACTCAATAAAGCAGATAATTGACTGCAATCTTAGTTAATAAGATGGCCCCAAACTGCCCTGCAAAAATGCCAAAGCAACTAAATATAAATGTTTATCTTTGTTAACAAAGGAAGAAAAACTTCTATATTGTTCTGGAGAAGTTCTATACAGTTTTATAGGTGTCTAAAGTACTTTAAAAATAATTAACTATTTTATGTTGCAGTTTCTGGCTTG